CCTTTGGCAGGGATGCTGACAGCTGTCCCCTTTGGCAGGGATGCTGACACCTGTCTCCTTTGGCAGCTTACATAGTACCTTCTGACACTAGGAGAAGCCCGCAGGTAGGAAGCTTTCCGGTCAGATGCAGCTCGATTCATCTATTCCTCTGTCCTAAGTTTCCAGTGTCTTTGGCAATGTGGGCTTGCCTCAACCTCCAAGAGATAACCAAGGACCACATCAAGGGTCTCTGTTGTTGTAGGGGTCACCATGACTATGCTGAGCCACCATTCCAAAGGGGGTTTCTCACAACTGTTACTGGAGTTTTTGTTAATCTGTGGTGCTTGTGGGAAGCGCTGTCAGCCTAAGTGGCATAACTTCCTTTACGATTTTATACACACACACACACACACACACACTTTGGTAAATATAAAGTAATATGCTTCCTTAAGACTTTGTCAAACAACCTGGTATTGGTCCCTCTCCTTTTGTATTAACCTTCCTCCTCCTCCCCGTTGGAGCCCCCTCCCCAATATTCCATTTCCCACTTCCTGTCACCTGTATCCTGCTGTTCTCCTCTCAGCCTTCCCCACCCCAACATGTGGTCCCTTTATACTTCCCTGATTTTTGGTTCCTTTTTTGAGAACTCTGTTCAGATCCATAGCCCATTTTTAATTGGATTATTGGTCTTCTTGACTCTTCGGTATTTGAATATTAATCCTCTGTCAGCTCTATGCTAAGATTGTCTCTGTTCCGTGGGTTCCTCTTCACTTCATCGTTTCCGGTGCTGTATGGAAGAGGCCCGGTTTGTCAGCTGTTCCTGAGCAAACTGAATCCTGTTCAGAAGTCCTTTCCTGCCTGTGTGTATCTTGTAGGGTACTGATACGTTTCCTTCCAGCACTTCCAGGTTTTACATTGAAGTCTTTTGCCCATTTGGAGTTGTGCAGTGTGATAGAGAATGATCTAGTTTCATTTTTCTACGTGTGGACATCCAGTTTCCCAGCACCAATTGTTAAAGATATTTTCTTCTCTCCAGTGTATATTTTTGGACTCAAATATCACGACTTGGTTTCAGTGGCCTTCTGCTGCACTGGTCCACATGCCTCTCTGAGTGCTGTGCCATGCTGTTCTCAGCACTATGGCTCTGTGATGTAATCTGTACATGATTGTCAGGAGTGGACCATATCATCTCATCTTGTCATTCCTGTGCTTGTTACAGTAACTTCGTCCATGATTGTTGAGTAAAAGAGTCAACTCAGACACTTTGATATTCACAATGGTAATTAAGTACACACCTGTGAGCAAGTTCAATTTAGTTATGATTGTGCACTATAGTTACACACACACATTACCAGTTCAGTTGCATCTCTTCGACTGACATTTGCTTAGTTAACTGTGAAGTCTTTGATATGTATGCATGTATGTATGTATGTATATATGTATGTATGTATATAATGTATGTATATTCCTTTCTTTCCAGCTGCGGCTGAACTTGAATCTGAGTTCTGCAGAGTTTTTCCCCTTGAATCTGCTACTAAATCAGGTCAAGATCTAATCTTAGAAGAAACGCAAGAATATATAGACAATTTAAAGAAAAAATACAGGATCTGCTGAATTGAAAGAAAGAAGGAAAGGAAGAAAAGGCGTGATAATAGAAGAGGGACTCTTTGGGAGGAGGAGCAAAGGAACAGAGCCCCAGAGAAGATAAAAGGACATGCACTGTGTGTGTCTTAAATGTCACGGTGAACTGGTATGGTAGCACACGGCTTCAACCCCAGCCCTTGGGAAGCAGAGGCAAGTAGATATCCTCGGTTCAAGGACAGCTAGGGCTACATGTCCACGCAGAAAAACAAGCTTATAATGAAACCTAATATTTTTGTACCAATAATATATATTAATATATGGTCTAAAATATATTTATTAGACTTTATATATTGTAATTGTTTCCTAGTAAATGTATGACTTGAAAACAGAAGTGAAGGAAACTTTTTTGTCATATGTATTAGAAAATTAACATGTTTACCTGGGGGGGTTTGGTGGTTTTAAGCACATTTTATAAGTATTATTAAACCACTATTACCAAGTTTTACATACAAAAACACCCAAAAGCCTGTTTCTCATGAGTATTTATACTTTTCTTTTTTTATCACTGTCTGTGGGCCAGAAGACTTAGCCAGACATCACTTCAGTATGCTGCCGCTGCAGCCATTTTTAACATTTTAACCTGTTACAGCCACAGTATCACCATCAAACCTAATCTTTTAAGCGCTGATTTGTAGTTGTTGATCCTTCAGGAAAGCAATTACCTAAGACTTTGCACCTGTTTTGTTTATTCATTTGCTTGTTCATCTTTGATGTTTTTGGTTTTTTTTTTGAAGTCTTAAAATTAGACAAAAGTTCAAAGAATTGTGCCCTTCCCCACTCTGAACCATCTCAGAGAGCCTAGCTGCCATCTGCCACTGTCCTGGACTATATTAGTATTTTTTGTAATTAACAACAGCCTGAGTAACTGGTGTCACCTTTGTAATCGGAAGGCTACCACTAATGCACCCTGGATATCAGCCTCAGGTCCTTTTCCAGTTGACTCTTGCCTACAATGTCCTTTAACAAAAACTGGTCCCATTCAGACTCAGGGATTCCAGTTACTTACATTCCTTAGACTCCTTCAGTTTGGAACATTGCTCAGTCTTTCCTTGATTTTCATGACCTTAAATCTTCAGGGTAGAATTCATGTAGAGTGCCCTTGAATTGAATTTTCTGTTGCATTATTATTAAATCATGTAATTTTTGACAAGAGTATTACAAGATGTGATTTTTCTCGTTTTATCCTATTATGTGATCTCTAATTTAGATTTTTCTCTACTATTATGATTTTGATATTGATTACTAGAGCAATTATCTGCTCTGTTTTTCCCCTGTATATTTACTTTTGTAATAAATGTTTTATGAGGAGGTAATTTGTGACTGTAAATACCTGTTTCTTGTCAAACTTAAAATATATTCATTTACTAGTATCCATGTGGATTAATGGTTCTTTATTTTACTTAATGAGTTAGAAGTTGTTGATAACATTTTAAATTATTTTTATATTTTAATAAATTAAATTTTTGAGAATTTCATACATGAGTGCTATATTTACATCATTTCTACCCTTCCCTCTCTCCTTCCAGCTCCTCCTGTGTCCTTCCCAAGTTCCTCTCAGATTCACGGCCTCTTGGTTATTTTTATATACATATACACATGTATAAATGCACCACACACACACATACACACACACACACACACACACACACACACACACCCTATTGAGTCCATTTAGTATTATTCCTTTGTACGTACATTCAGGAGCTTGTAAATGTCCTATTTTGTTGGAGTACTATAGAATTTTTTTAAGAATAATACAAAGAAATCTTAGTTATTACCATTCATTCCCCAAATGTAAACATTTGTTTTTATCCTTCCCCTTCTCTTCCTCTTTCAAAATAAATGCAAATAAAGGGGTATAAAAGAGCATTTTTCCCTTGTGAATTGTAAACATGACACATTTATTCCTAAATACATGTCTTTTAAAAACAAGGAGTTATCATACATACCTGTAGTGAAATAATCAGAGTCAGGAAGTTCAGTATTTAATCTGTGAACATTATTTCAACTTTAACAGTTATCTCAATAACTTTTTATAGTCAGAAAATTCAAGATGGGATATTTGTGCCCACCTCTCTATGCTGGGACTTTTGTCTGGCTTCTGCTTACAAAGGTCTTGTAGCATGCTGGCACAGTTGTGGTGAGTTCACGTGTTCACCTGCCCTGTTGTGTTGGGAAAACACTTTCTGGTGTTATCCACCATCTCTGGCTCTTACAGTCTTTCTGCCCCGTCTTCCATGAAGATTACTGCCCCACTTAGGGCTTAGCATTCCACATCCACTTATCTGCACACTGACCAGTTGAGGGTTTCTGTGTTAATTGCTGTCTACAGCAAACAGAAGCTTCTCTGGTGAGAGTTCAGAGATTGAGTTCTCCCCTAGGCTCTATGACTTACCTGGTTGCAGGGTTTGGGCCCCTTTAACAGTGCCAGGTATGGGTTCTGTCCCATGAAGTGGGCCTTAGATCCAATCAAAATGTTACTCACATGACATTTGTGCCAGTATTGCCCCAGTGGGCATGTCTTGTCAGGCCAGTCATTATAGTTACTATTCTCCTCTGGTAGAAGATGTAGCAGCTTCTAACCATCAAAGATGAAGCTTGCATATGAGTACCAACTTGATTTCCTCACTTCCAGTGCTTCAAATATGTGGCATCTTCAGCAACAGGGTCTTACTGTCAACTTCTGGAGGACAGCTGAGAGTATTGGCAGGAGCCTGTAATGCTTACCCAGTGGGTCATGGGACCCATTGGCCAACAGCTCAAAAAGAGGTAACCCTTACTGGGACTGGAGATTTTATTTGCTACCATGATTTCAGGTAACTCAGATGGTAGTGGACTTCCACATGGCTTTTTCAAAAGACCGTAGTGTTCTCCTTCTCCATATTCCATTCTCTACCCTGTTCTCCTA